GAGGAGAGAGACAGAAAATTATTCAGCAAAATCGTATCGAATCCAGAACATGCCCTACATGAATTGCTTCCTGTGTGTAAACAAAGGATCTTAAGACAAAGGGAACATAACTTTATTTTACCTCAAATAAAAACGGAGCGATTTAAACGATCCTTTATAAATAGATGTCTTTTTAACTATTTTTAACTTTTATATAATTAATTAGGATAGATCAATTTTTTTAACTGTAACAAATAGGAACTTCACATTTGTAAAGTTGCACGTCTGTTGTGACTCTAGACAATAAAGACTTTATAATAATAATAATAATAATAATAATAATAATAATAATAATAATGTTTTAGTCGGGCAAATCTTGATTAATATTTGTCAATATTTGATACGCCGTTTTTTTGCATATTTCAGACACATCCAGAAGTATGCTCCCGATTTTAAACATTAATATCTCCGTGAATTTTTAAGTGAAATGCCAGAGGAGGTTGGACAGCAGGCCGCAAAGCATCATGGGTATTGAGCGCCTAATTCGACGCGTGGCTTCATTGACTGTTGACTGTCGAGGAGTGAACAGCTCTCTGACTAAACAAATATGTAAGCTTTCGAACGACAAGAGTGTCAGATACTCTGTGAAAACAGCATATTGCTGTATTGTTGCGATCCTCATTATGACTTGTGTTTTACTATAGCAAGTTTACCTTTTTTTTAAATTGCATGGGACGTGTTGTCATTTTAGTTTAGTTTATAAATAATCCGTCTGAGCAAAGGAATTGTGTTTATATAAATATTCCCAATAGCAAGGCTCTTCTTTCTAATTAATGTTGGATGGCGTTATTAAATCTCCGTGTATATATCAACGTAAAAACAAGCGCAGTATTTAATAAGGTTGGTATACTACAATGCATTACAGTTATCTTGTTATTTAGTCAAATTTCAGCTTTGTTGTTTTTATTCTTGCACTGTACTGTACTGTAATTTCATAAATACACTGTACAAAATTATAGCGTAATATGTGTTTATTGCCTATAGTTTGACCCTATTGTGTGTGTATATGTACTGTGTCACTGTGATACATAATTATGTACATGTTTTGAGTTAAACAAATTGTTTAATAAATTTTTGCTGAAGTATGATGCCTGTTTGTATCTAGTTGTGGATAGATTTTTACATATATGTGCATACAGTAGTTATATATTTTTCAATTTTCATCTGTAAATAATATTGCCATACTTGTGTGTTGTTCTAATATTACTGTGAATAGTGACATACTTTTGCATTAGATTGCTAATTTTAGAGATTACAGTGTATGTATAAAATAATAAAATAAAATTTTTCTTGTTATGATTTTGTAGAAAGAGATCTATTTGAGTGGTTGGCTGGTCTTGAACCTGGTCAGATAATGAAGGTGATGGGGTAGAAAGTTGTAATGAAGGTGATAGGGCAGAAAGTGGTGACCGGTTAAGTGATGAGGATGAAAGTGACAAGGACAAAATCACCCATGCTGTACCATTCAAGATTTCAAGTGATCGGTGCTGCTCATGAGAAAAACTACCAACATCATTTTGGAACAGGCATACCTTGCTCTTCATTGGCCAGAGCAATTGAATCCAACGGACTCAAGTGCAATTGATGTAGACCATGGAATCAGATGGACACATGTTGGTTATATTGCTTCTGAACTATGCGAGCATTTACACCCATTAATTGCAGCAGGAGATATCTTAGAGGTCTATGTTAATAGGATTTTATCCGGACTCAAGTGGTAAGGAAGAGCATGAGTGTACGTTGACAGATGTTTGTGATATAATAGCAACTGACTAGGTTTAGCAAGTTATAGAAATGCTGTTATTTCAATTGGCTAACTTTTTAGATTTTTTTCAGCATTTTTAAATTAAACAAAAACTAGGTTAATCACAAGTGGGTGCAATTAAAACAATGTCTGTCATGCACACTCATGCAATCAAGTACATAATTGTAACATGTGCTGTACTAAATGAACAAATAAATAGTTTGTAGATTCACTTTACCAAATTTGTGAGTAAATTTTCATTAAAATTAATGCAACAATAAAACAAAAATATGTCTATTTATACACAATAATATTGATCAATGGTCCCACAATAACATGCTGCTGATACTTTAATTAAGGTACATTATATGAGAATACAAAAATAACCTGCATATAATGCACCTATCAATGTTAACTCCCAAAGGGGGGGGGGGGCATATGTGGGGTATTTGATCATTAATTGCATCTCCACCCCAGGGATTTTGATTAGCCATAGTTAACTATGGATTAGCATTTGGGCCCAAGTTAGGGCAATTTGAATCAAAATTACTTTTATTAATATAGTATTTATTGCAATTTATTGCAAAATGGTAGGGAATTTGACCAATATTTATTGCCCAACAGTGGGGCATTTGACCCCCCTCTCTGGGGCTTAACATTGATAGGTGCATAAGAACCACCATTTCTCAAACTTTATCTGAATTAGTTGTGTAACAGCATTTATACAAAATACTGTTAAAAAAGGCCAAGTGGGCCATCACTGCTATAAAGGGCATTCTATCCAATGGCATTATAGGACCAACATTTCCATGGCGTTGTTCTCCAAAGCATCGAGCAGCATTATAAATCAGATTGTCTTTTTTACCAGCATGAAGTACAGACATAGCCTTGGCAACAATTGGGATGAGGGACAAATTTAGCATCTAAACCAGGAGCATCTAAACCAGCATCTTTACCAGCCATTTTTGAAACGGGTGGATGAGTAGCTGTTCTTGTTGTCACTGCATGGGTTAGTTTTGAAAATCCAGAAGTTATGTCAAGTCATATCATATCAGTAACATTACAAGAGAAGTGAACAAGTTTAGAACTCAAAATTTAATGATGATGCTTAATTCTTGCAGACGAAATCATTGACAAAAATAGAATCCTCTAGCCAAAATCACAAATCTATAAAAACATCAGCCAAACAATGAATTTCACCAATAAAATCTTGTTACAGAAGTGCTTTAATTTTTTACATACTTTAACCAATATATATAAATCCGTAATATATCGAAACTTCTATAGTATATCAAATTTCTTTAGAAAAAAGCTAATAATAGCAGTTCATTATCGATCTGAGTGACAAGGCAGCATATTTTACAAAGGGCTATATTCAACGGTGAATATCTCGAAAACGGTTGAGAGGCCGAGGGGGGCCGGCTGGATAGAATTAAAGATTATACTTTTATTTAACTATTCGTGAAAAAAATAGCGAAATCGAACCACGGAGATTTGAGAATTTTGTCTTCAAAGATTGTTGACAGAAACGCCATTAAATTACATCGCGACGTCATAGCGCCTAAGTGAGAGGTCAAAATAAACTGGAAAATGACGCTTACCTTTTAAGATACCGTTCCAATGGGTAGATTGACTGTTGTAGAGGTAGTATCGCGTATGTACCGGAGTACTTTTTTTTGGGACACCCGGTATAAGGAGGACACAATTTCAACTTTATCACATACACTCAAAATGGAGAGAGTCAGTAGACAAGAACAACGCATTCGAAAAACAGAAAATATCGCAAACGAAAAAAGTAACAATTTGAATATTTTAAGAAAATGGAAAAGTACTTCAAAGACAATCATTTTGAATCCTACCACAAGTCTGTAGAGGAGAGCAGCCAAGAAAATGCTGACAAGATTATTGAAAGTCTTGGTTTGTGAGGCAAGATATGCATGATCAATGAACTGACCGACGAACCGACTGTTCAAGAGAAGAAATATAATAAACTGATTGAAATGAAGCTATACTGACTGGATGTTCCAGACAAGAAATGCGATAAACTTGAAATTGAAACTATAACACTTAATATATTAGCTAAAATCCATAAGGGGTTGTGTTAAAATAATTATCACAAATCACACGCTTATTATACACTATTCTGTACTGTTTATTCTGACGTTTTGTAATAATTTGTTTTGTTAAATACTGGTATTTCGATTGATTTTATACGGTATATCTACAGAAATTGGATATCCTGTGTCACACAGAAGACTAAGATAAACTGTGTCACAAACAGTGTTAACGTTTAGCGATTTTAAAGCTCTAAAGTTCAATGTAATCCCCCGTATTTTGCAACACGTCTCTCCAGTATTGGTCTCGTAAGCATAGTTTTTTGGTCCACCTGATACAAACGTGGTTATGTATTTACCTTTAAGTTCATCTTTAAGTTGCCCGATAAATTCTCCTGTCTCAGGATTCCATTCCCCAGGTTTGCTTGTGAAAATAACAGAATCAGTGTCATAATACAACACGCGTTGCTCCAATCGCTCTAACACACTGTATAATTTCAGGCGGGCATGTGCCGTCGTAAATGTTGCTATAACCACATTAGTTTTTGAGTTTGTGTCAATAAAATTTTCTGTATTTTCATACCGTACTTCAATAACATCATCACTTACAAAAGAGACGTCAGTGACTTCGATTTCATCCGACGTTAGCATGTCAAAATACTCACTTGGATCAGAGATGAGCTTCACTTTTGCCATGTTAGGTTTCTGCGCAAACTTACCTATATGAAAGAATTAAGGGATTAAATATTTTATCATATTACATAAAAAAATGGACAGTTTATAGCTCCCACACATACGAACTGCTTGTATATACGATTCTTGAACTTACCCCAAAATGAATTTAACATCAATTTTGCAAGCGCACGTAATCCAGGATTCTTTTCTACTTTATCAGGTTCAAGCCTGATTCCTTCCTTGTCAAAATACTCATCAATATATTGCTGACGCTTCTCTGCGGTATTGCAATCTTTTGGAAATCCACTCGCTTGTTGCTTGATCTTCTCAAATCATAATAAATCGACATTAATCCCTCTATTTCAGAAACTAGTTGTGATGCTAATTGATCGCGTTGCCTGCGACATTTGGCCCAGGCCTGCCCGCGTTAATGTTACAAGACACCCTTTTTGGCGTTTTGTGGAAAATCGCTACTGCGCTCAAAATCAGTCCGATTTTTATCAAATTTTCACCAAATGTTAGCCAGTGCATGCAAAATATGATAAAGTTGTAAAATTGAAAAAAAATAAAATAATGTAAGAATTAGTTAGGAAAATATTAAGTCGCGGTACCTTTACGCTTTTGAGTTATGTTCCTGTTGGTTTTAAGATATATTTATGAAAATATCAGTTTTATACAGCAAAGTAGTTGTTCTAAAAAATTGTGTTTGGAAATTTTTGTTTATTTCGTCATTCCGCTGATTTGGCGATTTCTTTGACGACAGCAATATATTTCTGAATCGTTTGTGTGAATTGCTCCTTATTATTAAAATATCCAAAATTAGAACAAAGTCGAACACAATTTTGAAACTGACGTCTTTAGCTATGTCCTGTTAAAATTTGAGAAAAATTCGTTAAAACCCGCAGGAGCACAACTCGTTTAAAAAACAGTAATTGCCGTAAAATTCTTCGCAAGAAAATTGAATTTGAATATTACATTTTCAGTGTTTTTCTTATTGCAAGCGAAATGTATTTTATTAAATAACTCTGCGAGTTTGCAACATTTTTTCGTCCAAACTTTGTCAGATAGTAGAACTAGTCTAATGCTTTCATTGAAACCAATAAAAACATTTTAGGCAAAATTAACACTCAAAGGTGTTCTGTAACCTTAACTGGTGGCCTACCTGGCGTTATAGATTTTGCAAGCTGATTATAAAATCCGCCAGAGTGTTAGCTGAACAAAGTGACGTCATAGATTTTGGAAGCTCATTATAAATTCCGCCAGATAGATTTTGCAAGCTCATTATAAATTCCGCCAGAGTGTTAGCTGAACAAAGTGACGTCATAGATTTTGCAAGCTCATTATAAATTCCGCCATATAAATACCGCCAGAGTGTTAGCTGAACAAAGTGACGTCATAGATTTTGCAAGCTCATTATAAATTCCGCCATATGGGTGGAGGGTATTACTACTCACTTGATACTTTCTCCAACAACATATTGCGCTTAATTTTTTACAAAATTAAAAATATTCACACATTAAAGATATGAAAATGTAGCTTGCATTACAAAATAATGTTGGCTTACCTAAGTTATACCATACACGTCGATTAAAGCCAAGTAAAGCCTTTCAAAGACGCGTGCAACATTAAACTACAAGTCACATGGCGGTAGAGAACTGGACGAAGTATTCAGGA